GGTTAATTAATGTCATTTTCTATGGGTGAAGCAGAAAAATGTGTCTGTTAACTTACAGTTGTGTTAAATAAAATGTGTTATATGCATACATATTCAAATACAAGACATTTTTGGTAACACAAATGTACAAATTTTAACTCTGCTTTTTCTAAATGTCCATTTTCCCCCAAAATACTTACCAGACATGTTTTGGACATAATGGTTCAGTTGTTCATTGTAAATGTTTGATTCCATCTACTTTACTTTTCAAGTGAAATCCATCAGTGTATATGTTTTTGTATGAAGGTGAAAGAAGAGTTTTTTTCATGAAGTATTTTCTAGTTTAAAAACTAAACTAGGGCCTCCCCGGTGGCGCAGTGGTTGAGTGCTGGGTTGCGAAGCTGCCCTCGACCTCTGCGGCGCCGGTTCGATCCCCGGCTGCTCCCCGGCCACCTGAGGAGGGTCCCACATGGCGCACAGACCTCTCCTGCCGCCCGCTGCTCCCCTCAGCAGTGTACTTCGGTCCTTCTGCCTGCTCTGCTCCCCGCTCTGGCTCTGGTGAATTCTCTCACCCACCCGCGCTTCTGACTGTACCCAGTGCTTGTATAAATAAATAAATAAATAAATAAATAAATAAATAAATAAATAAATAAGTCTTTAAAAAAATAAAATAAAAACTAAACTAAATCCCTATCTATTTTTTTAAAGTTCCAGTAAAAGAATATTCTGCTCAGTAAGTTTTGATTGGGGGCTGGAGAAGAATCTCACTTTGTGTGTATAAATGGTACAGTGGGAAAATTTATAATGTTTCTGTGTTGTTTAGGACAGACCTCACTAGATGAACAATAGGAAAGGAATTGTACAAAATTAGTGATATATATTGTATATTCTCTGATAAATTTGAACTTCCTAATCAACTTTTTGACATTTGTCTAATTCTCATGGTCAGAAGTTTTATAGGATCAGCACCTGCAATGCTCAACTTCTATTGTAGAAGAGCCCAGTGCATTTGCTTGGCATCTAAGTGTGAGTGAGCGACAGAAAATAAAAAATCAGCACCTAATAAAAAAGATTTAATGTACCATGTATGCTGGCCTCCAAATAGGGTTGCATGTCAAAATTACCTGGAGTGCTTTTAAAAATCATCCAGTTTAATGGCCAAATTCAGATTTCTTGAAACAAAATCTTGACATTGTCATGTTGGAAGAAATTGTGGCAACAATTTTCTTCTCCCTCAAATGATTCTTATACAGTTAGTTAGTAAAAAGGTTGTAGTCAGGACCTCTCTGGTGGTGCAAGGGGTTAAGTCTCAGTGCTATCAAGCTATAGGCAGTCACTGCAGCACCAGTTTGATCCCTGGCCAGGGAGCTAACCCACATGGTGCAGCAGACCTCTCCTGTCTTGCCTGCTGCTCCCCTCAGCAGTGTATTTCAGTCAATCGCCTTTTCTGTTTCCCACTCTCTCTGGTGAATCCTCTCACCACCCCTGCACCTCTAGCCTACACCCCAGGTCTTGTATGCATAAACAAATAAATCTTTTTTTTAAAGATTTATTTATTTATACAAGAACCGGGGTACAGGGCAGATGTGCGGGAGGGTGCGAGGATTCACCAGAGACAGAATGGGGAACAGAACAGACTAATGAAATACACTGCTGAGGGGAGCAGCGGGCGGGACAGAAGAGGTCTACTTCGTCATGTGGGATTCTCGCTGACTGGCCGGGATCGAACCCACACTGCAGAAGCTGCGGACAGCTTCACAGTGTGGCACTTAACCGCCTGCACCAATAGGGAGGCCCCCAAAAAATCTTTTTTTTTTTTAAAGTTTTTGATCATACATTTAGGAACTATTGGTATAATGGAATATACAAAGGACAAGGAGTCAAAAAGTTTGGGTTCTAATCATACATCTATCACTAGATTATTTGAGATAATTCACTTAACCATGATAAATTTCAGTATCCTTAAGAAAAGGCTTTATGTTTAGATAATTTCTCCAGTGATTTGTAAGGTTCATTTGTTCCTAATATCCCATGACTCTATTAGTTTTATCTTTCATGGCTTCCTAAAATAAACTTTTATCAGGACTGAACTACGTGCTGTACCAGGAATCTGTGCATTGTGCCTACCATCTAGTTTAGATCTATTAATGGTCAACAAATTAGAAAGTTCAGTGTTTACACACTGGCTCTTATATTTCAAAAGTCTACTATCCCCCAAAGATATTATCCTTAAACACTAGTACCATAAATTTGCAAAAGCACAATTTATTATCATCCTAGTCTTATTAATCATCATTTTGATGTTCTAAGATTCCTTGATCATTGGTCTTAGCTATACATGTAGACTGTTACTGCATGTTATTACACATTACGTATGTATGTCAAGCTCTATAGTCTTACATCTAGCAGTACTTAACTAAAATGCTTATAAAAGAGAAGTTCAAGATATTGTTGAAATAAGAAAAGAAGGGAAGGAAGAGCGAGAGAGAAAAGCTGGGTATGTTTTAATGAGCATAAGGAAGCTTATCCAGTCACTGGGCACTACACACACATGATCCATTAGTTTATGATTCCTTCCTAGGATTACTGGGACATGTAGACTTCCCTTGAATGTGAAAACAAAACAAAACAAGACATTTAGCAGAACTTCCAGAGATGATTCTGAGAAATAGCTCACCTTTTTTAAAGCAGAGGCTTTCATTGACTCGTTTTCCCTCCTTGTTGACATCTATTTTCATCCAGCTATGGAGGTATTTCTTGCCCTTCTTGACCACTACCTTGAAGCCTTGTTTCTTGAGAAACAGAGAGGTATTTTCCACCTCAAGGAACCCTTCCTTTGCATAGCAAGTCCATCTGGGGGCCTGGGAGCAGGAGGCAAAGATGACTGACTGGGAAGGGCCCCCAGATGAATTGAAGATGCCCAGGCACAGTGAAGAATTAACATGAAGTAGTTTGCCATCCTCAGTCCACATCCACTGCTGGTTCTGGTTGGTGCCATTACATGAGCCCATGGCCACTACCTCAGTTTTGAAAAGGCACATCTGTTTCTGGACATGGACAATCTGAAACCCCTCTGGAAGATGAAAAGTTCAAAGAGTGCTATGTAGCAAATTATAAGGGCCTTTATAAAACAAAACAACTCACTCACAAATCAGTTAACACACAGGTCTACTTATCTTTTGCTATTGCTATTTTTTCAGGTAAATATTCCCTGATTCAATACATGTGATTTAAAACCCCAGATGTTAAAATGTCAACATGTTCACCCTTCCATATATTTTCACATGGTTTAGAGGAGAAAACATACCCCCAATGAGATAGTAAAAGGAAGCTTGGAAATGAAACAAAATCATCCAAAGGATATGGTGTGCTATTTTAGCCCAATTAAATATACTGAAGTTATGAAACGTTCATTTCTTTTTTTTTTAACCATTTTATTCTTGACCTCTTCTCTGTCCATCCCTCAGAAAAGGCACACCTTTTCCTATTCTTAGGTTACCATTGCAATAAATATTTGTAAACAAATTGCATAGCTTGAATAAAAATTGGAAAACTGCATATATTTATCCAAAAAGAAAATTCAAATGAATTTTGCCACCTCTCTAAGCACACCCTCTTGCTAATAACAGCTAATGAAAGTATTATCAAAGGATTAAATTTCTGAAAGTCCTTGAGTGAGAAGCAGTTGTCTATTTTGAGAAAAACATCTGTAATTTCTCCTGAAATAGTTACATATTAACAAATCAACATTTCTCAATGTAAGAAAATTAAATACCTAATTGTTAAACATCAGTAATAAAAAGTGAAATACTCAGGCTCAGAAACCATTTTAATGTACTTTTACTTAATTCACCCAGATCTTCCTTGAAAATATTCAGATTTTCCTTCCAAATAACAATTTCCAAATAAAACACACCACAGTTCACCCTTTTAATTATAATTTTTTAACACAAAAGAAAACAAAACTATAACCTGATTGGAAAAAAGCATGGACAATACCACAGACTCTTACATAATGATAAAAATTTCTCCTCAGGGTACTTTACTCTTTGCTGTAAAGATGCCATTTCAGAAGCTGCCTGGGTGTTTGGAGATCCGAGGAGGCCATTTATTTTCTTTTGGAGAACTCTCAATAGTGAGAACAGAGCTGCCTCCTATTATTCCCCCCCCTCATCGTCTTTGGCAAAACTGCCATGGAAACCTGGCTCCTTTGTTGCCTTTTTTCAGACAGAATTCAAAGGACAGAAAGTCTTTGCTGCTTAGTAGAGAAATACCTCAAGAAACTGAGGCAGGCCCACTCACCTGAGCTCCCGAAGATCAAGCAGGTAAGAATCGCCATGTAAAATTCAGCCTCCATTTTCCACTTAACTGTTCATGCTTCGCTTGGGGGAAAAAAAAATTCTCCCAGATAAGAGAAGCAAAGACTAGGAAGGAAATGTGCCTTCATGGTGGGGGGAAAAGTCAGTGACGAGCACTTCCTCCTATTGAATTGTTTGGGGAAGTTTTACACCAGTGTCCTTTTGTCTGTTTCCTTAGAAAGAAGGGATTATGATTACCTCTATTTTTTATGTAAAAAAATTCCAGCCTCCAGCAGCTGAATAAAACTGTCAAGTTTTCTCTCATGTTCCCTCTGGCACATGACTACTTCTTAACCTCAAGAGGGAGGAAAGGAATTGTAATCTTAGATAATTGAATGTTCCTGCAACATTACATCTCTTCAGGTGATGTGATTCTGCTGAATATACACAAACCATGTAATTTATGAGGGTCTATGACAAGTGACATAAAGACATAAACATGTGCTGTTTGTATAATCATATAGTGGGAGTCTATCGAGGAAAACCACATAATGATGGCACTTCTAGATCATTATCGCTCAAGTGATGACAATATTACATTTTGAGATGTCATCTCCACTGGGGAGAGGCAGAGACTAAAATGAAACCCATTGCATTATCTACTTCAGTCTTCCCCTAAAAGATAACAGTTTCTGAATAGGAAAAAAATAGTACATGCTTTACTCAATATTTAGAATTAAGAGGAGTTTATTGGCAGTATGAAACAAAGTCAACATGATTGCATTAAAAATTCATATTTGAGCAGAACATCTGGTGTTTGCTGAGTGTAGTTGTTTTTAACTTTATTTGTCTCTTGAGGATTAAAACCTTTGAGAAATGTAAGGATACCCATGGCAGGGTCCTTTGAAGACCCTCTGGAAATGGGACAGGTTGTATCATTCCCAAAGGCATCTGCCTTTTCTTGGGAGAAAGATTCCAAGTAGACAGCATATTCAAAATTTCCTTCTTTGTAAAAGACAAGTATTTAAAATTCTTGATACATCATAATTACTATAAATTTGTGTTTTCCCTTTTAAAGTAAAATGACTCACAATGTAGAAATACAGTGGATAGAATTCTGGAGCAGAAACCACTTCTATGCCCAATAATAGAGAGTAATATAATACCCAAGGACAAGTAATACCTAATGACAATCATTGTGCTCTGTAATTAATTGACAGGAGGTACTGATAAACACACATTTCATAGATAATATTATCAAGACACATTTTTATATAAAGTAGTTGCTGCTTTTGAATTTTTTCAAAAGCAAGGACTTAATTTGTTAAAAATCCATTTCGATCACTTGCAACTTTAGTGGCAAGATTCTGGTAACTGAGAAGGGTAATAGCACTTAAAACAGGAACAGTTTAACAGCTGACAGTCCACTCACAAGACAGATTTTGCAAACATTAAAGCATCTAAAACACAGTAATAATTTCTTCAGCAGCTCTTCCTGTCATCATCTGAGGACACATCACTGAGTATTTCATACATACATTCTGTGAGGCAGATAGTCAATACAGGCAAAACAAAGTCCGCCTCAGCTGTGTAAGAAGTCTATCATGCCCCAATCAGCATAGGACCTTCAAAATAATTTAAGGGATGCTTACAAATGCATTCATATACACAAGGGGCTGGCAATCCGTATATTTGTCAAGTCTTCCACAATCCATGCCGCAGCTTGGCTTCAGGACTTCTCTTTCCTTCCATTACAGGAAGTTTCTTCTAGAAGCCTCAAATGGGTAATTGATTAATCACCCCTAGAGAACAATGGTCTGGTGAGCTTCAGTGAATCACTGAACAGTTTCTGTTGAAAGTCTGCTCTCATACAGGCACAGAGCATGATGCACAAATTCATACTGTTCACTGGTTTGGACCATTCCACCCCTGAAAGGAAAAGATAAGACAGTAAACTTCTTATTGGGAGCACCTTGCAATCTCGAGCAACACAGAGACCATTGTAAGGGTGCAAAGGAGATCATCCCATATCCCTCTGGCTTCTTCTAGGTTGGTAAATAAACAAGTATCAGCTAGATTGATAATGGGAAAAAAGACAAAGAGAAGATTAATAACAATTTGTATGCCTTCTGTATACAAGAGAGAGACCCAGCAGGATTGAGTAAGTTACATGGCTTCAATCACCATCTTAAATGGCTTAGCTTAGACAAGGGAGGTTGGTGGAAGTATAACAGAGTGGTCCCCAGGAAAAGGAAAAGTTCCAGGTTCCCTGCCCCACCCAAGGGAGGGTGGAGCTAAAGAGTGGAGCTAAAAAAAAAAAAAAAAAAGAAGAAGCTGGAGAAGAGACTGAAGAAGGAAGGAAGCAGGATGGAGAGCCAGAAGGAGACCTGGAGGAGGCACATGGAGCAGAAAGACATGTAAAAAAACTATGCTTGTCTTTTGGTCATGACTGGTTAAAACACATGTGGGTGAGAAACCCGTGGAAAAAATAACGATGGCGCTTTTGTCTTGATTTTGATTTTGCTCTTTTCCCCACAGATTTGTCTGGTTGTTTCTGACCCTTTTCTGTGGGTCCCCACTGGAAGTTGCTTGAGGCTTGTGGCAGGCTTTTGGGTCTTGCTCAGGACCAATCCCGTTTGGCTGGACTTTTACCCATGGGGGGATGGGTAACTTTGGGTACTTGATTTAAAAACTATATTCTTTGTCTTTCCTGTATTGTTTACTAATTGTATTAAAGTTCCTTTCCATTAAAGTCTTTAATGCTTTGTGTTGATGTGGTGGATGGCAAAACCTACTTAGAGCAGGCAGGGGGTTCTGGGGTGCCCCCTCCTTGCCCTGTAACAGAAGGGAAAGAGGAAGTTCAGTTGGGAGTTTGACAAATGTATACAGATTTCAGATCTGCCTTCTCCACTGAAATAAGGAGATTAGGTCTTCCTGGGAGAAGTCCTTATGGAAAGAAGTTTTCATATAAATATCAAAAGCAAGTTCACTCAACCTTCAGAGTCCCTCTCATGAAATCAAACTTTTCCAGAAAGGTACATTTGGGTATTGCAGAATGTTGCTCTCCTAGACCATATCCAGGGTAAAGGGTTATGCCAAAGATACACAAAACAGTTGGCCAAGTGGTTATTTTTGTTAACCCTCTTATCTATGTCCAAAGGACCCAACTGGTGAAATTATATGGGGAATATAACCAAAATGAAAATGTATACATTGTGCAAAAATGAAAAATGATGTAAGAATTATATAAAATAAAATATTTTAAAAAGATGCTAATGTTTATAAAAGGATTAGCCCAGTGCCTGGCACACACAAGACTCTTGATTAATTTCATTGGGATGCAGTGCAGCCTAGTGGTTAAGAACTTGGACTGTGCAACCAGGCTGTCTGTGTCCAAATTCTCTGCCAATTCTTAGTTGTGTGATCTTGGGGAAGTTCCTTTAAACACTTTGTGCCTCAATTTCCTCCTCTGTTAGACTGAGATAATAAAAACATCTATTTCATGTAGCAGCTCTCCTGCCCACCTGTGCCTATGCAGGCCTCTCTTTTAGCAAACCTGTCTCTCTCAGGCCAACTCTTTCTGCCTGCTTGTGTCTATGCAAACATCCTTGACTTCCCTTCCCTTTTTATAATAAACCTGCTTTTTTGAGTATAAAAAAACAAATAAACAAAAAAAATCCCACTGATTTCATAGGACTTGGTGAGGTTTAAATGAATCCATGTATCTGGAGCATTAATATTACTCTTGAGGAATGGCATCGCTCATCTTTTGTTAAAATGTTTCATGCACTTGGATTAAAATTAATTGGAATATATTTACCAAACAAAATTTGACTGTAAAATGTCCTTTCTACAGTAAAAAGAACAACTACTTTTGAAAGGTCTATTGGAGTATGGTGTATGGAAATAAACTCAGTTGTTGGGTGCGGTGTGCTGGGGTGACTGTCTAGAGGAGTTAAAAGGGAATTGGACTCTTGCTCCTAACCCTCCTTTGTTACTTGTATTATCACTAACTACTAAGTAGAGCTTTTGTTTTGGATTAGTAGAAGGTAGTGACCTTCATGAGAAATAATGATGCTTCTCATTATAATACTTTTATACACAAAATAACTATATCACATTTTGCTATCAATAATGGTTCTTTTATTTGGCACAGATAACAGATAGTAATATAAATATTAGTTATTTTTCCTGCTCACTGAATAGTATCATCACTGTTAGTAACTATTTGAAGTTCCATAAAGTCTCCATAAATCTGTAACTGTACAACTAATTTGAAATTATGTTTTAACTAGCTTTCCCTAGTGGCTGTTATTATTCAAAATAATTACTTTTACACCATTTAAACACTTCAACTTAAAAGCAAGAAATATTGCCTCACTGTAACATGGCATTTGGTTAATGGGAATAATGACAACTGAGCCTGTATCTCTGTTACTTGTTAATTTCTATAAATATAAGCTTACAGGATATAAAAACAGTAAAGCCTCACTCTCTAAACTAAACTAAGTAGATTGGCACAATGCCAAAATAATGTATTTGGCAAGAAATAAAGAGTTGTAAACATAGTATTTGGTGAAAGCAACTTATTTGCAGAAATATGTCATTAGTCTTTCCCCCTGAAATTGTACATTTGGTTGTACTGAAGGCAATTTTTTGGCCAAAGCATTGCTTAATTGTAAGTTGACAACAGAAATGTCCACTTGAGGATGTGGTAATTCTTTCTCTTCTTAGTTGGATGATGCCATCTGGACACATCTTTTTTTTTTTAAAGGTTTATTTTATATATGCATACAAGAGCTGGGGTGCAGGCCAGAGGTGTGGAGGGTGGGGTGGTGAAAGGATTCACCAGAGACAGATTAGGGAGCAGAACAGGTGGGTTGACTGAAATACACTGCTGAGGGGAGCAGCAGGCGAGACAGGAGATGTCCGCTGTACCATGTGGGTCTGCTCCCTGGCCAGGGATCATTGAACTCATGTTGCAGTGATTAGCGATGGCTTCATAGTGCTGAGACTTAACCCCTTGGGCCACCAAGGAGGCCCTGGACACATCTAAAAACATAGCAGGTATCTGAAAGATGCTGGCCTTGACTGAGAGACTTGGGAGACAGAAACATTCATAGCAACTATTAGGGCAGCCCCAGGGAGCTGAGAAGCTTCTCCTTTCCTCCAGCATTCACAGAGCTCAGAGAACCATGTCTTCTGTTCCTTGAGGTGCAGACCATGTGAGGGAACTTACATGTGATCCACCTCATGGGCTTTGGTCTGTGAACTTCCTCTCACCATTTACCTCACTGTTATAGGCCCCAACACAAAAGAGTGGGTCCTTTGTCCTCTAGGGAAAGAATTCAGCAGAGAGTGCAAAGTATAGTTGAACCAGGTAAGGTTTTATTAGAGAGGCTCATCCATGCAGGAACCAGTGTAGGAAAGGTTCCTAAAAGGGAACCTAAAAGGGAGTTAGGAAGGGATAATTAAAGTTAAGTCCACAAGGAAGGAGGAGGGCAGCATCATCACCTGTTCTGGGCTGGGCATGCCTGGGCATGTGCAGATGGGTTACGTTCTAACTGTCCATGCGGTTCTCGGCCTTCTCCCTCCAGGAAATCGCAAGATAATCATTAGTCAGGATCTAATACTTTTTTCCATCATGTGGCCTCATGGTCATTGTGGTAGGTCAAGTTGTTTGCACCCACCAGTCCATGAGTTAAGTCCACCTGTTCAAACAGGCATTAGGGCAACTCATGCTACTGGCTTGCCATATCTTTCACCAGGCTACCTCCTCACTTTAAGGCAAGATTTTCCCTTGCTTGTATATTCTGGTATACGTATTTATGCGTCCAACTTGTGAATGAGACATAATCTACATACTATTCACAGTATATTTTAATGCTTCAGGCATATTTACTATGGCATTTCATCAACTAATCAAAGGTTGTTTCAGCCAGAAAATGTCGGAAAAAAGAGGAAACAAACTCATTAGTTGTAGGTTAGCAAAATTCATGTGGGTCTGAAGTCTTAAGGAAGGCATATGAAAAGTTGTTACTTCTCACTTAATTTAGGAAATAATAGTGAAAGAACTGGCAGCTGAGGTGTCCTCAGACATCATTCATTTTGATGGGTGACAAACTGCAGGCCTTTCGGAGGGAGGCAGCAGATGGTCAGCTAATTTCTGCTGAAATGCTCATGGACCCAGGTACCTTTAGAGGCAGACATTCCCAAATTGGCAGGAAATCTTTTGAAGCCATCAAAATAAATCTGCCCTTCTCTAGCTTTCACCCCATTGGTTAAACTGAAATAACCCAAAAAAGTCTTAGAGCTCCTCTTGTAGTCAAACAATAGCTCTCTAAATGTTGGAAAACAACCATCAAAGTCCCATAATCTTTTCTTCTATAGACTAAACATCCTGTGGTCACTCAATATTTCTATACAGCCTGGTTTCCCTGTCACTCACCAGTTTAGTCTCCTTCTATAGGACATTTTATCAACTATGCCCTTCTTCGTCTGTTATGTCTATACCCAATGAGTTCTCGTCAGTGGGAATATTTTCTCCATTGGCCTATATGTTATAGGACAATGAGTCTGCATTTGCAGGTAGATCAGGTGCTAAGATCCCAGCATGCCTACCTGGTCCCTGGGGTTTTGCAATCATTTTAAGATACTGAGTGACCATTAAGTTAATGAAAAAATCCACAGGACTTTTTCTGAAAGCGAAATTACAATTCCTCCCACTCACCCCGGCTCTGCCATGTCCTATTCTTACATTATTGAATTTTTGAAACTAAATGCAGGATTTTCTATCAATTTCAACTTGTTGTTTGTAGCACAATCACTATTTCTATTATCAGTATATTAGCCTTCCATTTCTCCCTCCCAGTTTTGTGCTTTCCAGATATTTTACAAGCATGCCCCATATCTTTTTTATCTGTCATTTA